ACTCGGATATAAAAAAAATATATTTTGCCATGAAAACTTCCCAAAATTTCTTATAAAATAAAATATATGTGTCATCTAGCACAGACGTATAATAACGTTAACTATTAGTATGTTGTATCCATCTGTACTATTATTTGTCTGTTTGTCTTTTTATTTTTGGCCATGACGTTGTCAGTTTGTTTTCGATCTATGAGTTTGACTGTCCCTCTGGTATCTTTTGTCCCTCTTTTAGTACATTAGAAATTGGAAACATGGATGTGACATATTAAAAAACAGTGAAACGTTAATGATTTTTAAAAATTTGCAAGAGTAAAAACAAGTTGCAAATAATTGTATCCGTCATTTCGTAAGAACGAAATGTATAGAAATGTATAGAAATAACGAAGACTATGTAGAGAGATTATAATATGTTGACCTTATTCGTGCAAATTATGGGAATACGAATTACATATAATTACAAAATATCTATACACTGCATGTCTTGAATATAAACTAAAGTTTTATATAAAGGACAAATGGGAAAAGGAGAGGGGGTGCTGTCCAAAAGCAATTTTCTTTTAATATTCTTTATGAAAAAATACAATTGGTGTCACCGTATTAGTTTTCTTGCTAAATAACAGATTAGGCAAAGGAGAAGGTCCGGTAAGGGCTAGTTTTGGCCTAATATTCGAAGTACATCTAATGAAAGATGTTTGACATTTTTTAAACACTTAAGTGTCTACTTCAGTCGATTCAATTAGTCTGTGTAAAATATTTGAACTGATTTGGTCATTAGAGAAGCTCAAATTCACGCTTGAATATGCAAAATCTCTCAAATATGCAATAAAACGTCATTTTTCATATGGTTTTTGTCTAAAATGGAAGTGGCCGCATTCGTGTTCAGTCTCAACCTTTATTTATGTTATGTACTATCATCAAATACAACATATATTTAAATATCAAGACTGAACACAAATGCGGCCACTTCCATTTTAGACAAAAACCGACTTAAAATTAGCACAAATGCTAAAATTGTAAAGATTTCAGTAATATTGCACGAATTTATGATGTTATTACCTGCTGCATGTGCATTGTATTGTCAAAAACAGCCTATATTCATGGAACAGAAGTATTCTACTTTCCAATAAACAGCTTACAGTTTACATTTAAAAATATTGGTAAAAATGCTATATTTTGGGGCCAAAAAGGGGTCTTACCGGGCCTACTCCTTTACTATACTTTCCAATACCCAAATATTTTTTCTAAGTTATCTTTCCTGACATAGCAAATTTTTGACATCTTGAATATTATGTAAAAAAAGATGTTCGATAAGATTAAATCATATTTTAAATTCAAATGAGAAGTCTAAAATAAATTTCATTTCTGAATGAAATTTCGTAATTATAGTAAAATAAGACCGATTGGTTTAAGCCCCGAATATACATGAAAGGATTTGAAAAAAAAACACACTAATTTGAAAATTTCATAAAACTTATCAATAACATACAATACAAATATTTACATAAGGCAATCAATCGATATAATAAAATAAAGGCAGTTTTTTCTCTCACCAGAATTCAAAAATCTAAAAGTATTACAAATTCTCAAATACACAAGGTCGTCAAATACACGAAATAACAATAATGACATTTAGAATAATTTCAAAAGTTTTAAAACCGCAAATTTTATTTGTGTTCTAAGTATTTGTGATACGCATCAAACATTTCCTTAATAATACAAAACTGCAAAGACTTCCAACATAGACTCATATTGAAATCTATTCATTGATATTTATATATGAGCCATAAGATATTTTGCTACATTATGCATTTTACAAAGATGCTAATGTGTGTCAAAATATCTTTACGGGTAAAGCCTTGGCTCATATATATTTTGTCCAAGAAATCATACTTCAATCTTTTTCATTATGAATTCAAATAACACCTTGGGAAATTATTCGTAACTGAATGAAGGCAACATTCGTTACAAAAAAAATATACAATCACCATGTTCAATTAACAGTTTATAGATTAAAAGATTTGATAAAAAAATACAAATAATTTGATCTATACAACAAAATTATTAATAAGCATTAAAGGCATATATTTACATAAGGCAATCAAAGAAAAAAGTATGATAAAGTCATTTTTACCTTCAATATTGACAAATCCAAAAGTATTACAACTTTACTAAATCATATCCTTCAGATATTCGTAAGACATTAGTTCGTCAATTACAAACAAATCAGTAATACTTTTTTTAGATTTTGGCATCAAACTTCTCTACTTAATACAAAAATACAAACACTCCAAAAATAGCCTCATATCTTTTTATTATATTTAAATATGAATCAATGTTTTACCAAACAAGATATTCCGCTAAAATATGAGTTTGACAAAGATGTTATGTGTGTCAAAAGATTTGTTTGGGTAAAGCCTTAGCTCATATCTAGTTTTAATAAACTCAGCATAGACAGCGCGACATCATACTTCAGCCTTATTCATTATGGTTTCAGATAATATATTATGATTTCATTCATAATCCAATGCATACAACTTTCTTTGCAAACAAATACAAAATCAACTGTATCATTAAACAACACGATCAAAATAAACAGAAAAAAACAATTGAATGAAGAATATTTAAAATCTAGTCGAAAAAATAAAAATAAACAAATAAACTACAATAAAATTACATCACGAAAAGCAGGTATAGAACTATATACAAGAACACAAATCGCAAATACCAGCTATGCAAACAATATCATTCTTCTTTACTAGTATATATGGTGTCATTTGAAAGAACAAATCACATTGTGCATAATTGATGGCACTATTTTCTCTCTCTCTCTCTCTCTCTCTCTCTCTCTCTCTCTCTCTCTCTCTCTCTCTCTCTCATTCTCTCTCTCTCTCTCTCTCTCTCATCAATTAATTATGAATTATCTTTGCGACATAATTATGTACAAAAACAATTATCTCTCTCTCTCTCTCTCTCTCTCTCTCTCTCTCTCTCTCTCTCTCTTTCTATCTCTCTCTCTTTCTCTCTCTCTCTCTCTCTCTCTCTCTCTCTCTCTCTCTCTCTCTCTCTCTCTCTCTCTCTCTCTCTGTCCTTTATGAAGCAATTATGAGTTATGTTTGACATAATTATGTACAAAAAAAATTCTCTCTCTCTCTCTTGCTCTCAAACTATTTGAGCATGTGAAAGATAACAATGATCAAATACATTTGTTTTTTCGTTATGAAACAATTTGGAATAAGATTTATCAATTCAAGACTGTTACATACTAATAAACACATTTAGATTTCTATAGAGCAAATTCAAACTTTAGAAAACAAAAACTGAAACTAAAATCAAACAAAATCAATTATAAAAAATCATAAAAACAATAACAAAAACCAAATAAAAGCAATAAAAATGAAACAATTATAAACAACAATAAGAAACAAACACAAAAAAAATATTACACTGAAATGATTTCAAAAATAACATTTGCTTTTTGCTAAAAAATTATAGCAAAAATACCGAACTCCAAATCTTTGTTTAAAAATTATTTCATTATTAGGAACATTTTTGTAGTGACACACGAGATTAGAATTACAGAAGATTTTCCCTTTTCTCAAAAATGTTGACAGAGACACATGAAATAAAGACGAAAATACTTTGAAGTCGGAAGGGTTGTTTGTCATTGTTCTATTTACATTTTTCGCCAAGTAAAACACACAGCACATTGTCTATTTTTATGTTCCTGCGTCTAGTTAAAAATAAATTACTCACCTTATTCTTGATGACAAATCATAATGTGATGAACTGAGTTATGTTACCTTTTGTTATGTGATCTCGTTGCTGTTAACTTCTACTTTATGTAACGAATATTGATGACTACTTACCTAGTTTTACCCTTTTTATTTTTGGTTTTCCTAACTTTTGGAAGTGATGTTTGCAAAAATACCGTAGGTACCAGTGATTTCAATAAGGTCATTACCTAAACGCTTTAGTAATGTACTCTTGGTATTTTAATATAAGAAAAGTCACTTCACATAAGGATTATGTAAAGTGTCCTAACATATTTGTGTAGTGGTATCAAATCATATATTACGGACTAGTTTTACTAAAATCTCTATCCACATCTTTACATTCTTATGAAATAAGCAAAAACTCACAGGTTTACTGAAATCTCTATTTAGATTGTACATTATTATAAAATAATTAAAAAAAAACTCAAAAGTTAGCTGAAATCTCTATTCACATGTGTACATTGTTATAAAAGTAGTGAAAACTCACAGGTTTACTGAAATCTCTATTTACATATGTACATTGATAAAAATAAGTGAAAACTCACAGGTTTACTGAAATCTCTATATACATATCTACATTGATAAAAATAAGTGAAAACTCTCAGGTTTAATGAACTCTCTATTTACATATGTACATTGATAAAGATAAGTGAAAACTTACAGGTTTACTGAAATCTCTATATACATATATACATTGATAAAAATAAGTGAAAACTCTCAAGTTTAATGAACTCTCTATTTACATATGTACATTGTTATAAAATAAGTGAAAACTGACAGGTTTACTGAAATCTCTATTTACATGTGTACATTGTTATAAAAAAAGCAAAAAACTCACATGTTAACTGTAATCTCTGTTTACGCGTGTACATTGTTATAAAATAAGTGAAAACTCACAGGTTTAATGAAATCTCTATTTACATATGTACAGTATTTAAAAATAAATAAATATTCACAAGTGTTACTAACTTCTCTATTTATATATGTACATTGTTATAAAAAAAAGTGAATACTAACTGAGGTCTCCAAAAAAGTTGTTAGGTTTAATCTATCAAACCATGTCAATAACAACCATGATGCGCAATAAATAAAAAAAAAACCATCTAACTCTTGATTTCACTAGTTGAATTTTCTTTTATCAAATCCCGCCTTGTATTGAGATAATCAATATGTCCTTCCCGGTTCAAAAACAAGATTCTCTCTGAATTTATCCCACTAATGAATAAATCAAGACTGGCCTGAAATTTAGAATTCATGAAAGTCCTATTCACATCAATGTACTGCTTTGCTGAATTGGTCTTCGTCATACCACCAAACCATCTCTCAATGTATTGATATAACAAATTATCGGGAAGAATAATGCCAAAACATTCTTGTCGATTTTCAGAGTCTTCTTTGATGTCATTTTCTGTTATGACAAACATGGTGTTGACAAAATCTCTACTTCCTGTCTGAATTAGGTTTCCGATTTTTCCCCGGGTCAGTTGTTTTATATAAGTTTGCAGGGATATCCGAAATGTGCTATTCACAAAACACCTATTAGCATCAATGCTTTCCTTTACCGAATCGGCCCTTGTCAAACCATCAAACAACCTTTCAATGTACTGCTGTAATAGATCATCGGGAAGAATAATACCAAAACATTCACATTGATGCTCAGCGTTGTCTTTGATGTCATCTTCTCTCATGACGAACATTTTAATTACGAAATCTGTACTTCCTGTCTGAATGAGGGTTCCTATTTTTATTTCATCCAGTTGTCGTATGTATGTCAATAGTTGTGTCCGACATCTCACATTAGTCAAAGGTCTATTTATAATCATGTACTCCTCTACACAATCGGTCTGTGCCAAGCCATTAAACCATCGCTCAATGTATTGTTGCAACAAACCATCAGGAATAATAATACCAATACATTCATGTCGATTTCTAGCATTGTCTTTGATATCCCGCTCTGACATGACAAACATTGTATTCAGGAAATCAAGTCTTCCTCTTCGAATGATTTTTTTTGCGGATAGTCGTTTTATGTATGAACAGAGTGCTTTACGAAATGCAACATTCTTCATAGGTCTATTAACAGCCATTGCCTTCTTTACCGAGAATTTATCTGTTTCGTACTTGTATATAGTGCGATCTAACCAACGCTCAATGTATGTATTTAACAGATCACAAGGAATAACAATACCAAAACATTCGTATTGATTTTCAGCGTTGTCATTGATGTCTTCCTCATTCATTACAAACATTGTATTCAGGAAATCTCTTCCTTTATTCCCTATGATGGTCCATATTTGTTCAGTATTTAGTTGTCTTAAGTAGGTGCGAAGTTCATTTCGGAATGTAGCATTATTCAATGGTCTAGTATAATTCATGTATTCTATCGCCAAATTGGACTGTTCCACACAATTCAACCATCTTTCAAAATATTTTTGTAATAAACTATCAGGAATAACACAGCCAAGGTATTCGTATCGGTTATCAGTGTTATCTTTAATGTCAATCTCAGTGTTTTTAACCCGTTCATATATTATCTCAGTGTTGTCGTTGACGTCATCCTCTGTCATAACAAACATTCTATTAATAAAGTCACCATTTGCAGTCTGTATGAGAGACCCCATTTTCTCTATGTTTAATTGTTTCACGTGGGTTTGCAAAGCAGTACAGAATGTAACGTTCTTCATTGGTCTATTTTTATTAATGTATTTCTCTAAATCCATGGTTGTTGTCAAACATTCAAACCACCTTTCAATGTATTGTTGTAGTAGATTATCAGGTATAACAATACCAAAATATTCATATCTGTCCTTAGACGTGAAACCGAGGTCAGCCTCTATCATTACAAACATGGTATTGATAAAATCATTGTTTGCAGTCTGAATTAGACAACTGATTGTCTCTGTGTTTAGCTGTCTCATGTAGTTACACAAAGTAGAAAAAAATGTAAAATTTTTCAATGGTCGACAAGTATCCATGAATCTCTTGACACACCTGGTATTTGTCAAATAATAAAACCACCTCTCAGTGTATTGCTGTAAGAGATCACCAGGGAGAATAATACCAAAACATTCATGCTGATTATCTGCGTTGTCTTTGATGTCCTCCTCTGTTATTACAAACATTATATTCAGAAATGCAGCCCCTGCATTCCAAATAAGAGAAACAATTTTTTCGGTTGTAAGTTGTCTCATGTGGCAACACAGAGAAGTACGAAACGTGACACTTTTCAATGGTCTATTATTCTCTATAAATTTCTCCAGCTGATTGATTTCAGTCAAACGTTCAAACCACTTCGCTATATACTGCTGTAGAAGATCATCAGGAATAACAATATCAAGACATTCATTACGGTTTTTGGCATTGTCTTGTATATCTTCCTTTGTCATGACAAACATTGTATTTAGAAAATAATTCTTTGCATTCAAAATAAGATCGGCAATTTCTTCCGTATTTAGTTTATTCATATAGCAACTCAAAGCAGTACAAAATCTTTCATTCTTTAAAAGTCTATTCTTATCTATAAAATTCTTACACTGACTGGTTTCATGCAAACGTTTAAACCACCTCTTTATGTATTGCTGTAATAGATCATCGGGAATAACAATACCAAAACGTTTATATTTTTTCTCGGAGTTTTCGTTGACGTCATCCTTTGTCATGACAAACATTGTATTGATAAAGTCATACCCTGCATTATTAATAAGATAATCGATGTTTAGCTGTCTCATGAAGGTACGCAAGGCAGTCTGGAATTGTACATTGTTTAAGGGTCTACAGATTTCGATAAATTCCTCATTTGTTTCGGTCAAATGTTCAAACCATCTCACAATGTATTGCTGTAGAAGTTTATCAGGAATAACAATACCAAAACATTCATACAGATTCGCTGCGTCGTCTTCTATGTCCTCATCTGTCATTACAAACATTGTATTGAGAAAAGAATCTTCCGCTGTATTAATTAATGATTCAATTTGATTTTTTGTTAGTTGTCTCATGTAGGTACGTATAACACTTCGAAATTGAACATTAAGTAATGGTCTATTATTATCTACAGTGTCCTTGATCCTATCCGTCTTTGTCAAATCATCAAACCACCTCTTAATGTATTGCTGTAATAGTTCATCAGGAATTACAATGCCATAACATTCATTACGATTCGTTGCGTAGTCTTTGATGTCGTCCTCTGTCATAACAAACATTGTGTTGATAAAATCATACTTTGCAGTTTGAATTAGAGCAGCTATTTCCTCTGTGTTTATTTTTCTCATGTAGGTCAGGAGTGCAGAACGGAATGTAGCATTCTTTATAACTCTATTTCTATCTTGGATTTCCTCCAAATTACTTGTTTTAATCAATCCTGCAAACCACCTCGCAATGTATTGCTGAAGTAGATCATATGGCAGAACTATACCAACCCGTTCATATTCATCCTCGGAGTTGTCGTTGACGTCATCCTCCGTCATGACAAACATTGAATTGATAAAATCAAATCTTCCAGTTTGAATGAGATAACCGATTTTCTCTGTGTTAAGCTGTTTCATGTAGGTACGCACGGCAGTACGGAATCGTACATTGTTTAAAGGTTTCCAAATTTCAAAGAAGTTCTCGACCAATCTAGTTTCGCTTAGTAAACCTATTTCAATTATTAGTTGGTTTTCAAACACAGTCTTTTCAGTCAAACGTTCAAACCACCTAGCAATGTATTGCTGCATTAGTTCACCAGGAATAACAATACCAAAGCATTCATGCCTATGTGCAACGTCGTCTTTTATGTCTTCCTCTGACATGAAAAACATTGTATTGAGGAAAGAATCATTTGCTTCTTGAATGATTGAAGAAATTTTATCTGTAGGTAGTTGTGTCATGTAGGTACGTACAGCTTTACGAAACATAACATTCATCAATGGTCTATTTACATCTATAGCGTCTTCTATCCAAAATGTATTTGTCAAAACATCAAACAATCTCTTAATGTATTGTTGTAAGAGACCAATAGGAATAACAATACCGAAACATTCAAACAGATTCGCTGCGTTTTCTTTGATGTCATCCTCTGTCATGACAAACATTGTATCGAAAAAAGAATCCTCTGCTGTATTAATGAGTGAAACAATTTGTTTTGTGACCAATTGTTTCATGTAAGTACGTAACACGCTTCGAAATTGAACATTAAGCAAAAGTCTATTTGTATCTATAATGTCTAGGACCCTATCCGTCTTTGTCAAATCATCAAACCACCTCTGAATGTATTGCTGTAATAGTTCATCAGGAATAACAATACCAAAACATTCATTACGATTCGTTGCGTAGTCTTTGATGTCGTCCTCTGTCATAACAAACATTGTGTTGATAAAATCATACGTTCCAGTATGAATGATAGCAGCTATTTTGTCTGTGTTTATTTGTCTCATGTAGGAATTGAACTCATCACGGAATGTAACATTCTTTATAACCCTGTTTTTATCTTCGATTTCCTCCAACTCACGTTTTGTATGCAAACATGAAAACCACCTCGCAATGTATTGCTGTAGTAGAACATCTGGCATGATAATACCAAAACGCTCATATTGATTCTCAGAGTTTTCGTTCACGTCAGCCTCTGTCATAACAAACATTGTATTGATAAAATCATAACTTGCAGTTTGAATGAGATAACCGATTTTCTCTGTGTTTAGCTGTTTCATGTAGGTACGCAAGGCAGTACGGAATCGTACATTATTTAAAGGTCTGCAGATTTCCAAGAAGTTCTCGACCCAACGTTTTTCTGTTGAATCATTAAAAGTACTGAATTCATCTAATTCATTTGGTTCAGTCAAACATTCAAACCATCTATCAATGTATTGCTGTAACATATCTTCAGGAATAACAATTCCAAAGCATTCATGCCTATGCGCAACGTCGTCTTTAATGTCTTCCTCTGACATAAAAACCATTGTATTGAGGAAAGTAGCCTTTGCTTCATTAATGATTGAAGCAATTTTATCTGTTGGTAGTTGTTTCATGTAAGTTCGCACAGCCCTACGGAACATAACATTCATCAATGGTCTATTTATATCTACAGCTCTTTCTATGCTTATCGTCATTGTCAAAATATAAAGCAACCTCTGAATGTATTGCTGTAACAGATCATCAGGAATAACAATACATAAACATTCATGTCGGTTTGTTGCATCATCTTTTTTGTCCTCTTCTGTCATGACAAACATTGTATTAAGAAAGTAATCCTCTCCATTCCAAATGAGAAAAGCGATTTTTTCTCTCGTTAAATCTCTAATATATGTACCAAGGGCAGCACGAAATGTAGTATTCTTCATTTGTTTATTCTTTATATTTTTGAATTTGTCCACTTTGCTGGTTTTAGCTAAGCATTCAAGCCACCTTGCAATGAATTGCTGTACAAGATCACCAGGAATAACAATACCAAGACATTCATTTTGGTTATCATCGTTATCGTTGATGTCTTCCTCTGTTATGACAAATATAGTATTAAGAAAATCGTCCTTTGCATCACAAATGAGAGAAGCGATTTTTGCTTTCTTTAGATGTCTCATGTAGGTACACAAGGCTGTACGAAATGTCACATTCTTCATTGGTCTATTATAAGCTTGAAATTTCTCCAACTGTCTAGTTTTAGTCAAACATTCAAACCACCTTGCAATGTATTGCTGTAGTAGATCATCAGGAATAACAATACCAAAACATTTATACTGGTGGTCAGCATTGTCTTTGATATCATCCTCTGACATAACAAACATTGTATTGATAAAAGCATCCTGTGTAGTCTGTATGATTGACGCAATTTTTTCGGTGGATAGTTGTCTCATGTAGGTAGTTAGAGCACAATGAAATGTAGCATTAAGCAATGGTCTATTTTCACCTAGAATGTCCACTACATAATACGTCTTGGTCAAATCTTCAAACCACCTTTCAATGTATTTCTGTAACAGATCATTAGGAATCAATATGCCCAAACAATCATACCCATTGTCTGCGTTGTCTTTGATATCGTCCTCTGTCATTACAAACATTTTATTGATAAAATTGTCGTTTGCAGTCTGTATGATTGAAGCTATTTTATCCGTGGTTTGTTGTCTTATGTAGGTACGTAAAACCGAGCGAAACGTAACATTAGTCACTGATCTATTTCTTTTATAACAGCCTCTACAGAACTCGTTTTGGTCAAATCATCAAACCACCTCTCAATGTATTGCTGTAACAGGTCATCCGGAATAACAATACCAAAACATTCATATTTGTTCTTAGCGTTGTCTTTTATGTTATCCTCTGTCATGACAAACATTGTATTGAAAAAAGAATGCCCTGCATTTTGAATTAGTGCAGCAATTTTCTCTTTGGTTAGTTGTTTCATGTGTGCACAAAGAGCAGTGCGACCTTTAGCATTATTGAGTGCTCTATTTATATCTATGTTCTTTACCATCCAAAATTCGTTCGTCAGACCATTAAAAATCCTTTCAATGTATTTCTGTAACATGTTATCTGGAATAACAATACCAAACCATTCATATTTGTTCTCAGCACTGTCGTTGATATCATCCTCTGTCATAACAAAAATTGTATTAAGAAAAGAATCCCCTGATGTACGAATGAGTGAAGCAATTTGTTCTGTGGTTAGTTGTCTAATGTGGATACGTAAAGCAATACGAAATTCAATATTTTTCAAGGGTCTATTTTTGTTTATGACTTCACCAAGCAACCATGTGTTTTCCAGGTGTAATCGAAAGGCAGACGACACCATACCTATATCATTCGCGAATATGTTCTCCCCGACGTGTTTTTGTAAATCGTCAAACCACCTGCCAATGTAATGCTGCATCAAATCCTCTGGAATAATGATACCAAAACGTTCATTTGGTTCCTTAGCAGAGTGTATGACATCATTTTCTGTCATGACAAACATTCTATTGAAGAAATCTGTACTACAAATCTGAATTATAGAAGCGACGTGTTCCATGTCTAGTTGTTTCATGTAGAATTGCAAAGCAGAACGGAATGACACACATTTCAAAAGTCTATTCTCTTTTACAAATTTCTCAGTGGAATTAGCCTTAATTAAAGCATTAAACCATTTATCAGTGTATTGATGTAACATATCATCAGGTAAAACAATACCAAAACATTTATATTCATTGAAAACATATGCAACCTTATCTTTGATGTCTTTCTTTCTCGTGACAAACATGATATTTAAAAAATTTGCGCTTGACTTTTCCATTAAGGCAGTTATTTCATGTTTGGATAGATGTCTCATGAAGTCAATGAACATAGTGCGGAAGTTAACATTCTTTAGATTTTTATTTTCAACTATGTTGATATTTACATTACACGAACTAACCAGATCATCAAACACCCTTCTCATGTACATTTGCAATTTGTCACTAGAGATAAGTATTGAATAAGGTGTACTTTCATTGTCAACTGTAACAACAAATCTCTCACGAACAAATCTGTCTTTGGCATGTTTTATCAATATGTCGATAATTTGTTTTTGTGTTGCAAAATAAAAAGCTAGGAAATCAAACAGTTTGTCATGAATAGTTTGGTAAATGCCTTCATCATACATCACAAATGTCCCTATCAGTATTTCAATTTGGGTCTTGAGTTTCCTACCTGTTATATTTTCATCTATGTCACATACATCTTTTATGTCTTCTATTATTTCCTTAAGTTTAGCATCCTTTGCTGTAAACTTTTCTCCTTCTAAATAGTTATCAAAAATAACTAACAAAAGCAGAGCACAGTATTTGTACTTACCTTCTATACAATCGTTATACATGTATGTAAGGTCTTTTTTGTAAAATGAAAATGGGTCATTTAAAAACATATCTAATGTGAAGAGTGGATTTGTTTTTTCAATTTCATATAATTTACATAAAAATGGAAGGAACTCATATTCACCTAGGTGCTCTAATGCTTCGAGTGCATTTTCTTTAAAATACATTATCGTCATTTTTTCCTTTTCATAAGACGTTAAAGACAATTTTTCAGAGCCTAAGTTACATTCACATGTTTTGAAAATCTCTAAATTATCAAACCCCTTATCTTGAAAAACTTGTAGTCTGCATGTTAATATCAACTTATATTTACTGTTTTCTAAGATACTCTGTACATCATTGTTTGATTTCTTCCATTCTTCTATCCGACTTTGGTTTGCTGTAAAATTTCCACACATATCGTCGACAATATACAACGTTTTTCTGTCGGATTTATATTGATCTTTTATTTCTCTTGCATCTGTCACAGTAAAGATTGTGTAGCCATTTCTTTCCATTCGGAGAGCTACATGTCTGACAAGTGCAGTTTTCCCAATACCAGATGGTCCTGTCACACTTACACATTTGTATTTGCTGACACAGGAAAACACATGATTTGTCGCTCTTGTTTCAATATAAAAACTGTCATCCTTCTTCCATTTATCTATTCTATCAATCATGAAATCTAGAATGTTTATAAAAAATATAGCTTATAATGTGTATGTTCTAGTAAAAAATGGAAATTTGTTTGACATTAAATTTGCCGAACAAACAAAAGATAATTTTTAGAGATTTTAATGATATTAGGCGTTAATTTTTGTAAAATAATGAAATCACAGTGAAACTGAAATTCCGTTTCTGTTTTGTGTAGTTTGCACTTTTTCTTTGAACGCATAATTTAAAAATAGAACCTGCACACACTTCAGTTTATGGTGTGTTTATGGTATATGTTAGCAAAATTGCTACATGAATGCTTTCTCTTTTTCGAGGAATAACTGACGTTTTTCAAAGAAAATGTTTTCGATGCAATAAAAATAGGTGATGCTTAACTTTTGTCGGATTGTATATGTAACACGGAAAAAATGACTTTATATAAAATAATGAAATACATTATGAGACGGCAATAGATATCCAGTAAGTTCATGTGATCAATGTCAAGCGTATATGTAATTCATTCGAACCGAGGAAAACATCAAACCAGACACACAAAACGTAGAAGTTGGGTGTTACTGACCTACTATCTTATTATTACACATGATGTGAATTAATAATAAGAAAAAGATGTCAAGATAAAAACAATCCTTGCCAAAACAACAACAACTCCTTTTAATGGCCATGCTTTTACAGAAGAGTTTTAGTTGATTTCGTACATCAAGTATCGGAAAAATTATCCTATGGTTTATGCTGGCAGTAGCTTATCACTGTCAGAAGGACGCAGGTCAAAAAGATTACAAAAAATAACAAACCCCAAGACAAATTAAAAGGGGAAAGTGTAATAAACCTGAAGAAATAAAATAAAAAAACGATCAATCAATGGAACAGGTGAAAAACAACTGCCATACTCTTTACTTGGTACAGACACTTCTGAGTTTAATATTTGATATGATTTCACGTGTCGAGTGAATAAAAAGTCAAAGTTTACAGAAATGCTGCATGTGACGTCCACAAAAAGTCAACTTTTCTGAATGAGACATTAAAATATGCGAATTCATTTGTATAATTGTGGTCTTAAATATTGAGAAACAAAGCACCGGTTGTTTAATGCGTACGAAAGTGAAGTTAAGCGTTTGAGCAGTTTAGGAACTACTTATTACAGAATCTTGTGTCGTTTGGAGTATGTTCAAACCACTTTTACATGATTCAGTATGATTCAAAATTCAGCTTGTAGAACTATTTAATTAAAAATAATGTATCTTCTAAAGAAACTCAGAATGGAAGCCTTTGTTTGTTTCTTTAATAAATTTAGATAAATAGCACTAAACATAGGTACAATGTGGGTTACATCACGTTAACCCTTATTGCCTAACAGGAAAATGCCCTTTTGTTTAGTCGACGCCAATGTTGGTTTAGGTTTTATACCCGATGGTCTCAAAGCCCAATAGTCGGCACTCATTTGTTGGCATGAATCATCATTGCTATGATTATATTGATTATAAATTAAAGGTTTACAAAACTCTGAATTTTTCAAAATACTAAGGAATATTCCATCCGAGGAATAGATTGCATTAACTGCATCCTCAATGCTATTGAACTAAGATTCGTACTTTATTTTGTCTTTTGTATTCGAGCGTCCCCAGTTTGTCTTTTATCGACGAATCGTGCTGTCTGGCATACATAATTTTAAGTCTGGTATGTGAAGATTTTTATGTTTGTTCCGTTTTTCATTTTAAGTGCAAACTTTGCTCAATATTTACGCACATATCATTTTCGTGCGCTGACGTTAACTAAAGTACAAGTATTCACAACGTATAATTTTATATTTACCCGTCATTCCATTTCTTCTTTTTCTTTCGTTTTTCATCATCTTTCCTATCAGATAAAGTTATGATGGGCATATTAGTTGGTTGTGTCAGATTATCAGCATGATCAGAAAATTTTCACTGAGGCAGACATTTAAACAATACTGCAGTAATTGTAAGGTTTTATCATAAATGAACCAACACATGTATCTGGAATGCCACATATGTCGAAATGGTGTTCAGACATTACATCTTATATAGTTTTGCGTAACACTCATAGCATATTCTTATCTTTTACTCGGATTGTTGCTTTTATGTTTACTTGAACTTGATGGATAGCCGTAGTACATGTTCATGGAAATCGTATAAAAATTAGAAATGTTTCCAAAATCTTGACGTGGTTTTTCTTAATCATTTAATGAATAACCACAAAAAGCACTGAAAGGAACTTGTTCGTATTGTAAAACCGTAAAACTTTTGGTACAAAACCACATTGCTAACGACACAAGAAATCATATTATGCAATAACAAAACTATATTACGTCAGAAAACAACCATATCAAGTAATTTAAAAAAATCATTGAATATTGACGAAACTATTTTGAAATATATCAAAACCTATTAAGTAATGTCAAAACCATAACATGTAAAGACAAAATATCATCAACATTATCAAGTGATGAAAGACCACATTACGTTATTTAAGAACACCAGCTGTTGCTTGCCATACTTATTACATATTTTGATCTATCATAATTCAGGTATTGATAAACACATATTTCCTGAAATTCATCATTTCTTTTTGGTAAAGCTCAAAGGGGCATTGGCTGTCAAATTCATTTTGAAAGATTTGACTAAAATTTTCATATATTATTTGATTTATAACATACTGAAACGTATATCAAAATTATAAAGCGTCTAAAATAAACAGTTTACGAGGCATGGGTTTGATAATATGTATCATTGATTTATGTGTATTCTAGGCTAGACGCCATCTAATAAATTATCGAGTTGACCTCCGATGACTTCCGACGGTCATATAAGCGATATAAACATGAATAAAGATATAACGAGATATCGAACTCCTGTAATTGTATTTTTCTATGTTTGTTTGTATTTTAGGTTTAAAAAATGTTCATCATCAGTGTTTTCACCAGTTTAAGAATGCGCTGGTGTTGATCGAATTAGTCAATCAAATGATTTCAAACTTTCAACGTTGACATTATTTTTCTAATTATTATTTTATGCGTAATTCATCTCTAGCTAAGGGTTAATTAAAGGTCACATGAATACATATCCAATGAGGTCGAATGAGGTCAAATTATTTACTTGCGGGTGAAAAATTCATAGTTGATATTTCTTAGCTTATTTTATAAATTTGAACCATACTGATTGTTTAAAAAAGGGAATTATTATTTCCCTATTTCACTTTCATTAACGATCGATCAAAAAAAATCATTTTTTTCATATCTCGTAAAAAAATATCTTTCAAAAAGTTGTTGGATAACTCACCAATCCACAGTAATTCGAGGTCAAAGTCGGTGATATATGTTTTGTCTATTTTGGTAGCATATTCCGTATAACAGATATCTTCTTTCAGAAATTCAAGAAAGGCAGTATAGGAAGATGACATATTATTTCTAATAATTTCTTCTAAAAGGCTTCTGCTTTTCTCTTGTGAGGTTGCGTTCTCTGATGTTAGTACTAACTTAATCTGTTGACTAATAAGCTCTTTGGAAAATAATTTTTCAAGTATTCCAGGTTTATCAATGTCTATTTTATGGACTATTGTGTTATACCATTTGATTAATTTAACCGTTTGTTTCTCTATACCTGTAATGTAATGAAAAACAACTATTACTAAACGATTGCTAGAAATCTATGCTCTCTCTTATAACTATCAAATGGTTTATCCTGTCCAGCGGACACTTTCTTAAATTATATTTTATACATATTTTATGTTCTTTTTAGTAATATTATAACATTGCTTGAACATTAGTTACACAACATGACCGTGAAATGCGTTGAGACGATGTCTTTAAATTATCTGATTTTAGTGTTTAGTTTCCTATGTTATATTTTGTGAACTATTGTTTGTCTGTTGGTCTTTTCCTGTTTTAGTCGTAACATTGTCTTTTTTGTCGACTTATGAGTTTGAAAGAACCTTTGGTATCTTTCGCCGCCTCTCTTTTTTCAACATTTTGATAATCTACTTTCATTATTGGGCATTATGATTTGATTCATTCATATTTGCTCCGAGTTAGAGGCGTTACTGTGACTTTTGCTTATTGAGTGTTTTTTGCTGTGCATGTACTGATTTTGTGTCATGGATGGATACCCAATATCATTGGTTTTCTATCAGATATTCTTCACAGAAAACAATTTATACACTACGTTTAACTGGAAATCTCTATTCAGAATTAAAAAAGAACAAAGTTCGGATAGTTATGCTTTTCTCGGTAATTTAGTTTTTGAAGGTTGATGTACGGTATCTCAATAAGCCTAACCATTTCCATATTCTTGATTCTAGAATTGAATCATACTATTGTCGTATAATATTCATCGGGTATTTCCTAATTATAAGACGATTATTTGGAATAATGATTTATCAATGTCTATTTATACTACTGTGGATTCATTTATTTTCGTGGGTACCAATTATCGTGGATTGCGGAAAACTTGCCTTTTCGTGGATACGTGATTTCGTGGTTTTGCAAAAGCCTGTATGCAACCTGATAGAAATTTGTATTTCGTGGAACATTTAAATTCGTGGTTCACCTGTACCAACAAAACCCACAAAAATTGGTACCCAACGAATAATAATGAATCCACAGTATGTATATTATGAATTCTTAAAGAATTTATACCATCTTCAAAAAACGTACATTCAAATTTCATGAGTCGAATTAAGCAGAGAACGCAAAGAACATGAAGAAGATGTAAAAAGGAACAAGTCTAAAACATTATGGTTGACCAAGTCATGAAAATGTCAATTGTTATCTTATAGTTCGTTTCTGTGTGTGTTGCATTGTCGTTTGGTTTTTTTGTTGCACTTTAGTGTTTCTGTTGTTTCGTTGTTTTCCTCTTATATTTGATGTGTTTCCCTCAGTTTTAGTTTGTAACCCGGATTTGTTTTCTCTCAATCGATTTATGACTTTCGAACAGCGGTATACTACTGTTGCCTTTACTTGAACACTTCCAAAATTCAAAATACTACAAACCGAGGATAATGACCGATCTTTTTGTTTAAAACAGATGTCAATTCAAAGAAGGATTACTTTCAATTCTAGGTTTTGTCTATTAATTTGGTATTCCATGTGGGTTAAGAAGTGGTACTACAAATCGTATGATATTAAACACGTAAGCATAATTTAGCTTACATTAAGTTAAAAATCTCAAAATCAGTACATGCACGTCAAAAAAACACACAAAAAGCAAATGAGGCTGTTAACACGGACCTTACAACGTAACAACGGTTATTATACCAATTATTTGAGAGGGATCTACCTGCTATCTCGTCTTTTTGTGGTACATTTTTTAAAGTCATAACTTTGTCTGTAACTATAGCCTCCATATTTGCCACAAGTAATGTATGGGCCTGTTGATCAGATTCTTTCACCGCTTCAACAAATATATTGAAGGTATTGTATGGTCGATGCATCAGTATTTCTAAGAGAGTTTGGTTACGAGATGATTGGTCTGTAAGGCTATCTATCTCGTCCTTGTCGTCCACTGTCAGGATGCATTTAGAAATCAAGTTATCCAATACCACTTTATCAAGTATTGTACAACGAACAAGTTTATCTTTAAATTCTTTGAAAGCTCCTGAAATAAATGAGGGACAAAGGCATCTACACTGAATATAACCAATTCATAATAATGATCATTATATTGCTAATGAATACAGTTCTTTTAAAAAAATAACGGCATTCACGATGTGACTTTGATTCCATTAATATGTTTATGACATCTTGTAACAAATAATCTTTACGGATAAGTTTCCGCCTAATTCATTCAATAAATTACAAGATCGCCACACGAGGCATTTTTTTACTTATACCGATGTTTGTAGACTGCGAGTGATCGATGATATCATCAGCTCAGTAATCAGTACTTTCGCATATGAAATGAACCCTGATTTGTATTAGTTCGAAACTGATTTATAACGAGCTACTCCACAATGTAACAGTCTACATAATGACATATTACCTTACTTGAACATTATTCTGAATCTTGTTTTGCAATTCAACTCCTTAATGACGCGAGCTTAGCAGAGAAGCATCAAAAACACATTTTTAATTCTTTAGTTTTCCCCGACCGAGTTTCTTACCAGGAACCGTCGCCCTCGAGGCAAGCATGTTACTACAAGACCACTGAAGTGGTCTCTTAAATTTGGGATTTCTGTTAAAACTATTTTCTGGACGCTTTACACTTTTGGCAAGACGTTGTAAAATTAAGAAAAAAACGTAATGACTGCATATTCATAGAAAATGTGTTATGTTCACCATTCATTTGTTTTTGAAAAAATGATGTCAAGTGAACCTCCTTCTTTACCTTTTTATTTATCTCTTAGCTACATAGAAAAAGTGAAAATATCAAAATAAAGGGACAACAATATATAAGTCTAGAACGTCATAATTCTATTGCCAAATTTAAAAAAAAAAAAAACTTAAGGGCCTCTGAAGGGGAAGTAAATCCTGTTCCACAAGTGATAACTGTTGTGTTGCTCAAAATTGAACAATAATTTGAAAACAATCTTAAAAAAAATTGAAGATGCGGTATAATTTCAAACTATGTTGTTACTTTTGGTTTTTGTTTTACAATTTTCATCAAAGAAAAAAACGAAGTTTTAAATCTACGAAGAATTAAATTGTTAAAATCTTAATATATAGAATAACTTTGTAACAAATATTGATATGAAATGTTTTGTAACGAAATTCAAATATGTAAATAATGTTCACAAAAATCCAAAACATCACACATACACGGGCATAGCAAATGAGCTCACTTGCAAGTTTTTTAAAAGTGTTTCCCTTGTAAATATCTAGAAAAAAACAACATTCAGGTTACATTAGATTAATATACAACTTTCATCTTCATCACAGATCCGGGAAGTATATCAATCATATCTAAATTTGAATTAAAACGAGTCGCAGCATATCAGTTTGCTTTTAGATCTTCAAAAAACCATTGTATTAAATGGGAAATCTTCTGTTTGTTAAGATTGTGTAGAAGTGTAGTTTAGAGAGTCGAAAATATTACCAATTAACGAATTGAAAGGACAATCTTAATAACGTAATTTATCTAGATCAGATAAATATAAAAGAGAAGCAAAAGATACCGAAGGAATATTCAAACTCAATGGCATGGCAAAAACAAAACAAGAAAAAACAGAAAACAAGGACTGAGCAACAAGAAGCCCACCATAAATCCGGATCGAACGTGCTCCAGAAAGGTATGCAGAACTTGCTCCAGATGTTGCACCCACCATGTTGCTCGTGTAAGTACAAACCCAGTTTAAAGTATTAGTTTGTAGGTCGCATTCGAGGACGGACTGTGACTACGATAATTGTGACATATCCGTCGTCATCGGTGAAACATAGTGGTCAGCCTACTGGTGCATGTCGTAATGTTAAAGGTATGATTTAAACTTCATTACTTTTCAATTCTTGATTGAATAAATTTATTGTAAAAAGCAGCCCTATATCAAGGAAATCATAATGGGATATGTAAGGTCTGTTATATCGTGTTAACTGGGAGATTCATACTTAATGAAGGCGCTGTTGGAATGTTGCTACTTAGAAATAGGAAGGTCAAAATGGAGACCTTGAACCTTGAAGTTTTCTTGGGCAGTATCTATAAAGCTGAATTAAGATTAAAAGATAATGCTTGTTCATTTTCATTCGTCATAAGAAGCTTCTGTATGACGTGTGTCTCGTAATAAACTGTGGAATAAGTCGGCAAGAAGAGAAACACAGTTAGTTTTCATTGAAATGCCGAAGATGTGTTGATAAAAAACGTCCTCCAATGTTACAAAAAAAGTAAGATAGCAAATATACTATACTCCAAGTAAAATTCAAAACGATAAGTCCTTTATCAATTGGCAAAATCAAAAGCTCAAACAAATCACACGAAGGAAAACAACTCTCATATTTCGGACTTGACACAGGCATTTCCTTTTGTAGAAAATGATGGATTTATCCTGGTTTTATAACTAGCTAAACCTCTCAATTATATGACAGTCGCATAGAATACCATTACATTGAAAGCAATGTGTGAGCAACACAACCAGTCAAAATAGGTGTTGTCAATAAAAATATCTAGCATCTTAATAATGTTAGTTTTATAGAATTGTTTGTTTAAATTGGAATAATTGTTTTCAACAAAGTACGATGAAGCACTTGGCAGATTCAGCGATAAACCGCATAACACTTACTACAAACCTAGATGAATCGATATTTCATATTTGTTTTGAAATTTAAGTACCCAATAAACAGTTTTATGCATTTTTGATATTTTTGTAAACCCACTAAAAGTCCTCTCTGTCTTAGCTTAATATAACATACATAATATACCGTTCTAAATATGTAATATACCTTTAGAAGTCCTAACATCAACGTCTTTCTTGACTGACTGTACTTCTGTAAATAAACAATGTATAAAGATTGACATCTTTAATATTCAATTGAACTTATACTAGTGACAAATCGACTAAAGCCTGTGTGAAAACCGAAATACTATAAGGTATCAATACATCGATTGCTGTATATTACATCTGACATAGGTATGTAAATAAAAAACAGAAATAATTTAAAGTTTACAGGAA